TCCAAGGCCCAGGCCAACAGTCCTTCTCACACAGAGAGTGCGGCAGGAGGGGCACATGTGGGAGCTTCCGGGACTGAACAGTGCTAATGACAAGCTGACCCCAGCCCTCGGGAGCTCACAGCCAGGTACTACTTCAAGCCATCAGGATGGGCAAAGGGCACAGCTCACGGTGGTTGAGGCGAGCATGAAGGGCAATGCAGACGAAACGCTTGTCGCATCTGGTATTGGAAGAAGGTCTGAAATACAGAGCAGGAAGTAACTACTGTTCAGTAGCAAAGGGGGATCCTAGTAAAGAGCTCTGACGTCTCCTTTAACCTAACGATGATGAGAGCCGTGGGTTTTGAACAACCGTTTCATCATGGTAAATGTGAATATAAACAAACCTTTGCCCTGTGAACCATTTCTAGTACACAATTCAGGGACACTGTTTACATCCATCATGGTGTGTGATCATTACAAGGGCTTGTCTCTCAACGACCTCACCACCATGAACACGAAGTCAGTGGCCCCAAAGCTAAAGTTCCCCTTTCTGGTAACCCCTAGCAACCTGTAGCCTCTATACATCTGCCTATTTCAAACACACTGGGTCATGTGACGTCCTTCTGTAATGGACTTGTTCCATTCAGCCTGAGGTTCATCCGGGCTGCAGTGTGCATTAGGACTTGGCTTCTCCTGACCCGGTGGAGGGGAGATCCCACTGTATACATGGAACACACTGCGTTGATCCGTTGCTCTGCTGATGGGCGGTTAGGCTGTTTCCACCTCTCGGCCGTGCACAGGGCTCCTAGGAGCACTGACGTACAGTTTCTGTGTGCACGGCTGGTTTCAGTTCTCTGGGATACACACCCAAGGGCAACTGCTTCTGCTGATGGTAGCTCCACCTCTAACTGAGGAACCGTCAGACTGTCCTCCACAGCAGCCGTGTCAGTCGGCGTTCCCACCAACAACGGATGACGGCCCCAGCTTCTCTACATGCTCACCAGGGTTGGTTCTTTTCCATCTTTCCCAACCACAGCCCTTCTAGGGCAAGGGGAGGCAGTGCCTCACTGTGGTTTTGATTTGCATCTTC